GAAGAAGTAGAAATGGCAGATGAATATACAAAAAAAAATGTTCAACCTCCCTGGTCATTCAAGAGATGCAAATGAAAACAATGCTGAGATTCCATCTCACCGCAGAAAGAATGGCTGTTATCAAGAAATAAAACAATACAAAACGCTGGCAGGGCTGTAGGGAAAAAGGAACCCTTTCCACTGTTGGTGGGAGTGTAGACTGGGGTCAGTGTGGAGAGTCCTCAAAAAACTAAAATTGGAAGTTCCATTTCCCCAACTATTCTTCTTTTTGGTATCGTCCCAAAAGAAGTAAAAGGATCAGACCATAGCAATTCACACAGACCCAAGTTTATAGCAGCACAGTTTCTAGTAGCTAAATCCTGGAAACAACTCCTACGCCTGTCTACCCATGAATGGATAAAGAAGATGGGGTTTTTTTCCATTAGGTTTATTGGTACATTTAAGGTAAATAATACAGTTACATTCATCATTGGGATCTTGTGCCTTTACATAATGCATCTTGGTTCTTATATTTTCCCCATTCCCCTGCCCACCCTTCACCCCTTGACCCTTGCCTGTTTACAAAGATTTTATTTCCATTTCTCGTAGTTTTTTTTTAACACAATGGAGTACTAATCTGCATAAAGAATGATGAGCTTGGAGACATTTCTAGGTAAATGGATGGACCTGGAGACCCCACTCATGAGTGAAATAAATCAACACACGTTTAAATGCCACATTATTTTTCTGACATGTGAAACTGAAAGTGGCAAAAAGGACGAAAATGTATAATAGATATTGTAAAATGGGAAGAAAATGTTCAAATGAGAAGGGGAATAAGGAAGGTGGGGGAGGAAGCAAAAACAAAGACAAGAAAAAAATAGAAGGAAAACATGGAAACAGAAGAGGGGAAGTGGGAGTCAAAGGAAGGGAGAGAAAAAAAGCAGCGAGATATATCATACACAGCAGAAGGCCCATATGATGAATGTCATCATTACATATACCTAAACTGTACCAATAAATGTTTTGCTAGTAAATAAATAACAGACAAAGGCTGGGACTGTAGATCACTGCTGGAGTGCTTGTCTAGCATGCATGAGGCCATGGGTTCCAGCCCCAGTACTGCGAAAAGAAAAATAAAAAACACTCTGAAGTAGCCACAGAGTGAACGCCCGCAGCGCTCCTTGACACTCTCCCTCCCGCCGGTGTGTCACCTAGGCTGTCACTCAGCTGGGTCCAAGAGGTTCCCAGAGCTGAAGGGAGGAACTTAACGAATGCATTCTAAACACTCCTCCCATCAAGGAAAATGAATCTCAGAACTACCATCCAGAGGCACAGGAAGGGTTCATTAGGCAGACGTGATGGTTAAAGGATATCTTTTATCCAAAGTGTCAAGGACGCAAAAATGTGTGTGATTTGAGGAGGTTGCTTCCCATGGGTATCATCCAAAAGGTCAATCTTTTTGAGACCTTGGGACTGATTTCTTGTGGCAGCTGCATGAGATATTGTCCTTGAGACACTGCTTGGCCAATCCTTACGTGTCTCCCTGGTGAGCAGACTTTAGTTCCATCTTACCCAGGTATGAGTTGTGTTGACCTGAAGGAGCACCTAATCAGGCACTTGTGTGCCTTAGAGGATACTTCTTGATACTTCTTCCTATTTCTGCCTAGAGGGAACAAATGTCTCTTGTCATCAGTGTTTTTATGTACAAGCCCTGGTTTTCTAGGAACTTTGGAGCCTCTAGAAAGCTAAGTTAGGTAGAAATTAATGGGCAACCAGGGCCCAGGATTTGTCTCAGTGGTTCCACTGCCTGCTTCACAGGTGCAAGGACCAGAGTTCAATCCCTGGTACAAAAAAGCAAAACTAATAGGCAATCCGATGTGGCTACGCCCATGAGAGTGTCAGTGCAAAAGACAAGAACACACAAGAACTGTGGCTTTTGTTCATCCACTGAAGGCCAGGCCTCAAGATAATGACACAATAGGCTGGGGATTTAGCTCAGTGGTTCCTTCCGCTGCCTGCCTTGCAAGGGCAAGGACCTGAGTTCGATCCCCGGTATCAAAAAAAAAAAGATAAAGATGCAATAACGAGGCCTGCATGCCTCCTTGAAGGATAAAAAATAACCTGAGATTGCTCTGTGGTTAGTATCTCCTGGTCCAGTAAAATTCACGTAGACATCAGTCACCCAGGTTGGTGACCAACGCAGTCACCCAGGTGGATGACCACAGCATCCAGACCCATCCCTTACCCAAAATACCTTGTTGTTCCCATGTACCCTTGCTACCTGACTTAGTTCCTTATTGGGTCAATATTAGCCTTCCGGTATAGACACTTTGGGCTTCCATCACAGACTCACTGGCTTCCTGATATGGACCTACGTAGGACATTGCAGTGAGCTACAGACCTACTAAATCCTTCAGGCTCCAGTGTGCAGACAGACCCCCTGGACTCTTCCTCATCCGACTCTGTGAGTAGCCACTGTAAGCTAATCTTGTAAATTCATATACATTTGCATATATTGCATTATATCTGTTTCTCTATTGGGTTTTTTTTGGTTTTTGTTTTTTTGGTACTGGGGATTGAACTTGGGTCCTTGCACTTGCGAGGCAGTCAGCAGAACCACTGAGCTAAATCCCTGGCCCTATCTGTTTCTCTATTAAATAGCTACTGATATAGAAATTGGTACCAAGAGAGTGGGGCCGTTTCTGCGATGTTGCCTGGCCTTGGGAATTAATTTGAAAAGGTTTTGAGAGACCAGCTGAAGAGGCAGCTCAGATACACTCTAAACTACGGGAGACTATGGTCAGAGCCCAGAAAGTCAGAGTACTGATGGGAGTGCTGCCACTCAGGGTTAGGTTCAGGAAGCTTCTGTCGAGGACTGCATCGTCTGCTGGATCCCAGGCAGTGTATGTTGTGGTTTGGCAGGAAGTTGGTTTGCATTTTGCTTGCATTTAGAAATGTTGCCTAGGTGGTGGAAAATTTTCAATGCAGTATTGTGTTGAGATGGTGGCATAGTTACTGTTGGGGGCTTTTGCCTGGGTCTATGTTGGACTTTTTTTTTTTTTTGAGACAGGATCTTACTATGTAGTTGAGACTGACCTGGAACTCACTATGTAGTCCAGGTTGGTCTCTAACTCACAGTGATCCTCCTGCCTCAGCCTCCTGAGTGCTGGGATTACAGGTGTGTGCCACCAGGCCCGGCCAGAATTTTTTTATTTTTGAGACAGTGTCTCACTATGTAGCTCAGGCTGGCCTTGAACTCACTCTGTAGTATAGGCTGCCTTTGAACTCATAGAGATCCTCTTGCCCCAGCCTCCCAAGTGCTGGGATTACAGGCCTGCTCCACCATAACCAGCTTTATGTTGGAAATTAAGAATGGAGACCCAGCAGGGTGATTTGAAGTTTTTGGCCTGAGGGGAGGCTCCAGTGGAGCTGTGGCTTGCAAAAGATGAAATAGGAAACAGAGGAGAATGTGATTGTTGAGATGGAAAAGGAGGATGGAAAAATGACCTGAGGTCTTTTACCGGAAGGGAAGAGTGTATCTGGAAGGTGGGAGACCCTTTGGGGGATCTTTTAGTGTTGCTGCACCTGTTGTTAAAGTTAATGGGAGTCAGGGATTTAGCTCAGTGGCACTATACCAGCCTCGTAAGCACAAGGTCCTGAGTTGGACACCTGGTACAAAAAAAAAAAGAAAAGAAAGTCAATGGGAAGCAAGATTTGCAATTTTAATTGCTCTCCTATTATGATTCCAATGTAGTAATATGATGTTGATATATAAAATACTGGTTGTCAAGTATTGCTAAATCTTGTACAAAAATGGAAATCAAAGGAGTTTCCAAACTTCAAGCCATAATGTGGAAATGAGTGCAATAATAATTGTAGATATGTAATTGTTATAGTAAGGTAAATCTGAATAAATCAACACATGGTAACTCTTCACAAATCTGCCACTGGAGACTACGGTTTAAGGACATGTGTCTGGTTATCAAACTGACCAGGGATGGATTGTGGTGGATTAATTAATGGTCAACTTGGAATGTCCAGTTGAACTGAGTCAGTATGGTTCTATTATAGATAGATGAGCTAGATAGAAATATAGGCAGTCAGACAGGGCTAAGTCCTCGAGAGAGCCAGGACAAAGGTGAAACACACCACAGCTGCACGTAAGCTGAAAACCAGGCCTCAAGATGGAGACAAGATGACCAGACCCACATGCTTCTACAAAGAACCGGGCATAGTGAAGTACAGATAGGCATCCACCACCCCGGGGTGACCAGAGACCTCTGGCCTACCGCCTCCTAGGAGAACCCTTGTTCTTTCCGTCCACACTTACTACTGGACTTGCTTCCCAATTGGACCAGCACTACCTAAGTGACTACACTTGTAACCTTATTGGATGTCCGTGGCTGTGGCCCACAGTGTACCCACCTGGCTTTAACCCTATAAAACTCTGTAAAGTGGGGTCCCTGGGCTCCCCACTCAGGACCCCTCCTGCCCCTCAGGAGCTTTCCTATCAATAAAAATCTTCCTACTTTTAATCTCTGTCTTTCCTAGGACTCATTCTTCGATTTCTAGAGAACAAGAACTCATCATGTCATACAGTTAACAGGTTGGGAGATACAATATTTCATATTTCATTTTTCCTGCAACAGTTCTGGGTGTGGAAGACCCACCTGAGAATTGTTTGTTGCCAACAGAATAAAAGAACTGGAGGGAAGATGGTGTACTGTTGATTTTCCTGGAGAAGCTTGCCAGCTGGTTTCCCTGATGTGAACTCGGCCGTTCTCATCGTCAGAGAAGTTTGGGTCCTTGCTGTTGCCAGGGAAGGCTACTGTTCTCATCAGGGTGATACAGGGTGTATATCGGACCTCTGAATAACATAAGGGAAATATTATAACTCTCACCCTATTAGATGTCCAACATACTGAGTTCGTGTTCTCTAAAAACAAAGAGTGAATTCTGGAACAACAGAGGTTAATAGGAAGAATTTACTGAGAGAAAGATAGATTCTAAGAGAAACAGAAGGGGGTTCAGAGAGTGGGTAGCCCACCTTCTCAGAGGGTTTTAATAGAGCAAAGCCATGAGGTGAGATAGGTATAAAGTGGGACGAAACTATATAGTCAACTAGTAACATCTAGGGCTGGGAATGTAGCTCAGTGGTGCTGCACTTCCCTGGCAAGTGCAAGGTCCTGAGTTCAATTCCCAGCACCGCAAAAAAAAGAAAGAAAGAAAGAAACTAACAACAGCTGATGGAAAATCACAAGACAGGTATGAGGTGGGACAAAACTATGATCAACCAATAAGATTACAAGTATAGTCACAAGTAATATTGCTTAAATGGTATTGGGAAACATATTGGGAAACAAGTCATTCAGCAAGCACGTATGGGAGGAGCAAGGATTTCTGGGAAGGAATGGGCTAGGAAGGTTTTAGTCCCCACCCAAGGTGGCTGATACATATTAAGAATATCAACTGCCACTATTCATCCCTAGGAGAAGTATGTAAGTGTAGTCCTTCTTTTTTGAATCCTGGCCTTCAATAAATGGGCCTCAATTATCTTCTGAGGCCTGGCCCAGTTTAACTACCTACAACATGTCTAATCAATTTAGCTGTCTACAAATAAGACCAGAGCCCTGCTTTCTGGCTGCAGTGCAGATCCCTCAGCCTGGTGGCACAGATCCTTGACCCTGCCCATACAGACTTTCTCGCTCCGCCACTGGCCTGTGGGCCTTCCCGGTGCAGGTCCTTCATAAAAATTTGCATGAGACATTGCCTTGGGCTCTAGGCCTTTAGCTGAATTTGTGTGGGGGACACTGCTGCGGGATCCAGGCCTGTGGCTGCATTTTTCATTCCTCAAGCGTGTGGACAGATCTCTTGCACTTCTCTGCATTTGACTTTTTGGGCGAATACTATAAAATGATCCTCTAAGTTATGTGTCCTGTATTAAATCTAGTCCCTTGCAAATCCTGACTACAACAGCGGCCATTTTAGGATGCACTCAAGAGTGGAGTGTGGACGCTCAGAGAAATGAGGCCAATTAGTAGAACTGGAAATATTCAGGTGGTACAAATCTTTTTTGGAACATCTATAGCAGTGGTGGTGGATTGGCAGCACATTGCCACAGCGGACACACAGAGCTCTCTCTGTCAGCACGCAAAGCAAACCACCCCAGCAGCCAAGAGGTGAGGTTTAATTGTAGTGTTGGTACTTTGCAATAAATAAGTGGGTTCTTTGTTGCAATTTGGGCACTCCACCTCTAAAAGGTTCACTATCACTGATCTATGATGGCCCACTTATATTAAGATAGCCTTTATGGGGCTGGGAATTTAGCTCAGTGGTTCTGCCACCTGCCACGCAAGCGCAAGGATCCTTTTAAGCCCCCTGTACCAAAAAGAAAAAAAAAAAGAGATAGTCTTCATGTGTTTTTGGCAGTGGCCAAATTGACAGATGCAAAGATAATCTGTGGTGGAAATCTTTGGTCTTGTTTGGGGGGGGTGCCCACCCAGAGTAAGGCAAAGGTCCATTCATAAGAGAAATCTTAATTTACAGATGAACATGGTCTACTCTCAGATGAAAGAAAACCATCTGCAAGTAAAAAGCAAAATAGCTGAACCCATTAGCAGGTGAAAGGGAACTGCCCAAACTTCTCCTGCGGGGGAGGGGTTAAAAATAAGCTGGGTTTGAGTACTGAAGTTGCAGTTTTTGTTTTTTAAAAATATGATTTTACTTCCTTTTTGCCTAGATTTTAATTCTTCTATCCTACTTTAGGACCTCCCTACAATGCATCCACTGAAATATAATGCCCGTTCCAACAGGGGCCTCTGGGACCATGTTTCGAAGCACTGGTCAACTTCAATTTGATTAGCCCAAGAGCATTCCCTATCAGTAAGTGTCTGAAAACTCACTCTGCGGGTAAGCCTATTGTGCCTTTGTGGATTGGATGATCTTTTACCTTTATTATTTCTTTGCAGCGGGGAAACCTGCCTTCTACTTACTCTGTAAATCTTCATGTCCACCTGTGGGGACCATCATTAGGCAACTATTATAGACAGCTGAGTTGGGTAGCAATATTACAGGCAGTCAGATAGGCCTAAGTCCTTGAGAGAGTCAGGACAAAGGTGAATCATGACAACTGCAGGCAGAGACACATCTGTTGGAGATGAGGCCTCAGGATAAAGACAAGAGATGACCAGACGTGTCAAAGGACAAACACTGTGTTGAATGAAGTCTGGATAGATATCAGCTACTCCGGTGGGTGGATGACCAGAGACCTCTGGACCCACCATTTCCTAAAAGAACTCTGTTCTTTCCATCCACACTTGTTATAAGACTTGTTTCCTAATTAGACCACTATTAGCTAAGTGACTGTACTTGTAACCTTATTGTTTGATTAAACTCCTCTGTAAAGCGAGGTCCCCAGGCTACCCACTTGGGTCCCCTCCTGCCCCTCAAGAGCTATACTATTATTATAGATGGATGAGCTAGGTAGAAATATTATAGGCAGTCAGGTAGGGCTAAATCCTCGAGAGAGCCAGGACAAAGGTGAAACACACCACAGCTGCACGTAAGCTGAAAACCAGGCCTCAAGATGGAGACAAGATGACCAGACCCACATGCTTCTACAAAGAACCGGGCATAGTGAAGTACAGATAGGCATCCACCACCCCGGGGTGACCAGAGACCTCTGGCCTACCGCCTCCTAGGAGAACCCTTGTTCTTTCTGTCCACACTTACTACTGGACTTGCTTCCCAATTGGACCAGCACTACCTAAGTGACTGCACTTGTAACCTTATTGGATGTCCGTGGCTGTGGCCCACAGTGTACCCACCTGGCTTTAACCCTATAAAACTCTGTAAAGTGGGGTCCCTGGGCTCCCCACTAAGGACCCCTCCTGCCCCTCAGGAGCTTTCCTATCAATAAAAATCTTCCTACTTTTAATCTCTGTCTTTCCTAGGACTCATTCTTCGATTTCTAGAGAACAAGAACGCATCATGTCATACAGTTAACAGGTTGGGAGATAAAGTTCATATTTTCCCACATTGTCAGTAAAAATCTTCCTACTCTTAACCTCCATTGTTCTAGAATTCATTCTTTATTTTTAGAGAACACGAGCTCAGCATGTCAGACATCTAACAGGTTGGGAGATATAGTATTTAATACTTAACCTCTGATATTATTTCCTATATCACAACTCTTGGCTTTAGATTCTAGTTTCTCACTGATTCTTCTGACTGATCCCTCAGACTTGAAAGGCCTCCTTAGCTCATGTCTAGAAAAGGATTTCATCATGATGATCCCTTTTAAAAGCCACCATATTATTTACCTGCCTTTAGAGTCAGGCTCCCAGGTTCATTCTATTCTCAGCTACATTTATAAGAAATAATTTATATTCTAAGTAGCAACAATTTAAAAACATTAAAACATGATGAAATCCTATAAGCTAAATGCAAGTTTACTTATTAAAAAAAATACAACCAGATGTGGAGATACATACCTATAATCCCAGCACTTGGGAGGCTGAGGCAGAGGCAGGAGGATCACCTCAGGTTTGATGGCAGTCTGGGCTTATATAGTGAGTCCAAGGCCAGCCTGAACTGCATTGTGAAACCCTGTCTCAAAAAAAAAGCAAGTGGCTGGGATGTAGCTCATTGGTTAAGCATTACTTAACCAGGCCTTCATTAAATGTCCTGTACCCCTTGACTCTCAAAAAAAAAAAAAGAAAAGTCAACTTGTAGTCTTCTAATTTGGGTCTTTAAAAAAGTATAGCTACAACTATTGCTAGCATAGTCTTATATTGACTTAATCTGTGTGATTGGAAAATCCTGTGAAAATCAAACTCACAGTTGATCACTATAAGAGTTGGCAATTTTGTGTTGCAAAATACATGTAAAGATTTTTCATATTATTTGGATCATTCTTCTACCAAATGCAGAATCAATGGCTGTTCTAAATTATACAACTGATAACTTGCCTACAATTTAAAAGAGTATTGCTATTTGTCTCACAAGGAATCTAGGATGTTGGATGATGCTTTCATCAGGGGAAAAAAAATAAAAGAAGAAATTCAGGTGGGTAGATATAATTTTTTTTCAGAGAAGGGAATCAAGGCCATCTTCTAAATTAGAACACAAATCCCTGTGGAAACATATTGATGTATTCTTTGCAAAAATGAAAAAAAAAATGAAGGCACGGAATCTAAGAAACACAAAAACCAATCAGTGAAAAACAACGCCAAGATGCAGCAGACCTATAAGTCAGTTTACACCAAACAGCAGGTATTTGAGAAAGAAAATGGAACACATTTAATTCTGTAGAGGAAGGATATAAAGGAGACACATGTTTATTCTTTTTGGTAGGAAAAAAAAAGGGCAACTGGAATTTATTGAAAGACCCCCAAATTCACAAGAAAGTCATGGTTCTGATATAAAGCAAAGTAAAACCCGCTTGATTCTGAGCAGCTGGTACCATTTAAAGGCAGTAACATTCTCTTTATGACCCGGAAGGGGAAAATGGCCTGGTATAGCTCTGGTGTCTGCACTGAGTAATATTTGCGCAGTGATAATAAAGCAAACATTGCTTATTGTTGTTCAAAGTTTTGAACCAGTTATATACAAAACATGGAATTTTATAGTTACAGAACAGGGTGCGGTTGTCATTAACCTTGTTGACAAATGAAAAGACAGAAATTGAAAGTGAAGCCGACTGTGGCTGGGTGAAGGGAAAGAGAGGAAGAAGGAAAGATAAGGTAATGGCTTCATTTCATTCTTGGGAGTCATGGGCAGATATAACGCTGAAAGGAAAACAGAAGTTTAAGTATCTTGTTTTAAGTTCTAAAGGTTTCAACTACAATTAGACTATTACAAATGGGGAGAAGCCATGCGCACCGGCACTCACCTGGAATCTCAGCACTTGGGGAGACTGAGGTAAGAGGATCACACGTTTAAGCCCAGCCTCTGCATTTTGCTGACCCTGTCTCAAAATCGAAATTAAAAAAGGCTGGGGCTGTAGTTCAGCGCGAAGGCCCTCGTTCATTCCCTACAAGTGTTATAGATAGCTGAGTTAAGTAAAACTGTTATGGCTGTCAGATAGGGCTGGGTTCTCCAGAGTCAGGACAAAGGTGAAACACACCATAAATGCGGGCAGAGACATCTGTTGGAGATCAGCCTCAGGATAAAGACAAGACGACCAGATCTGTCTGCTTCCTCAAAGGACAAACACTGGGCCGAAAGATGTCTAAATAGACCTCAGCCACCCCAGTGGGCGACCAGGACTTCTGGACCCACCATTTCCTAGAAGTCTTTGTTTTTTCCATCCACACTTGTTTGAAGACTTGTTTTCCAACTGGACCACTCTTACCTAAGTGACTGGACTTGTAACCTTATTGGTTTATTGTGGCTATGGCCCACGACCCACGTGGGTTTTACCCCACAAAACTCCCCTGTAGAGTGGGGTTCCTGGCTACCCATTCGGAACACCTCCTGCCTCTCCTCCTATCCTATCAGTAAGTATCTTCCTACTCTTAAAACCTCTGTTGTTCCTAGAATTCATTTCGATTTTTAAAGAACAAGAGCTCACTCAGCGCATTAGACATCTAAAGGGTTGGGAGACATAATATTTCATATTTCATCTCATGTTTCCTGCAAACAAAGCAAAATGAAATAAAACAAGAAGATTGAACTAATAAAATTGCTCTCTCTCCTGTCTTTACCTCTTTTTTCTTTTTTTCTATTGTTTTGGGCTACTTGAGGATTGAACCAGGGCCTTCACAGTGAGTTACATTCCTAGTCCTTTTCATTTTTTATGTAGCTCTCGCTGGCCTTGAATTTGTGACAATCTCCTGCCTCAGCCTCACAAGTGCCATAATTACAAGTATGTGTCCCTATGTCTGGCCCGATTTCAACTTCTTAAAACAGCTAATAAAAATAATTGCCAGGTTGGATTGAAAATAAATACAATGTTTTTTTGTTCTTGGCACATCAAATGTGGGAGTATTGCTATTAGATATAGGATATTTTGAAATATTGTATACAATAGAAATCATCATACATAATATACAGGACATCTTAGAATATAATATACAATAAAATCATCATAATCATATAAATGCAAATGCATGCAAATAAATAAATTTGGTAATCGTTTCTAAGAAATTAATATTTTAGTTCTTTTTTTCTTTAACTACTATATTCCCTAAATAATTATCACTTGTTGCTGACTTCCAAAATTGCCAGACAAGCCAGGTATGGTGGTGCATGCGTGCAAGCCTAGGGTTCAGGAGTCTGAAGCAGGAGGACTGTTGTGAGTTTGAGGCGAGCCTGGGCTACCTAGTGAGTCCAAGACCAGCCTGAAATACATAGTGAGACCCTGTCTCAAAAAAACCCACTGCCAACAACCAAAAACAAATTTCTAGATAGATAAGATAGTCATGGAATATAGCTCATTAAATATAATTTTCAGGGGCCGGGGATTTAGCTCAGCGCTTTGTTGGCCCGCCTTGCAAGTGCAAAGACCCGAGTTCAACCCCTGGTACCAAAAAAATATAGAGAGAGACATAGATATAGAGATATAGATATATGTATATATCTATATCTATACATATATATATAAATTTTCAAAACAATCCTGGGACCTGGCTAAAGATCCATCTGTAGCTTTTGCTACAGATTGATGAAAGCTGTATGAACAATTCCTTTCTAGAAAGAAAGAAAACCAGAGCATATGGGAGAACTCTCAGCAATTCCTCTCTTCTCTCTGCGCAGCTGGAGCAGGGCTGTAGCTTCCGTGCTGCACTCACTGTAGCCTGGAACAGGGATCAGTAACTTTCTGCTCCACTGCTTTTCTCGTGTATAGACAACAGAAGCAGGGAAGATGGGAAGAACTGTGTCTCCCTCATTCTCCCTGACTCCCCCAGTGACACGTACACATTGTGTCAGGACATGCTGCTGTGTCCTGAAGAGCCTTAGAAATTTGCACACCTGGGCCGCGGATTTAGCTCAATGGTGCTCTGCCTGTCTCGCAAGTGCAAGGTCCTGAGTTCGATCCCTGGTATCGAATTAAAAAAAAAAATCACAGAAATTTGCACACAAATTCTTATCCATGTTCTGAACATCATTTGTACTTTTTAATCAGATTTCCCAATAAATATCTTTATCATGTTAAAAAATGGAATTATACTAAAAGACACAAATTTGTTTTCTTCCAAGTATCTTTATCCAATTTCCTGTAACCCAGTGTTCTGGTTTGTATCAAGATGGCCCCAAAGCCTCATGGAGTCGTAGGTGGGGAGTTTCGAAGGGGGCTGAGTCAGGCTGTGCGAATGTGAATTAAGGGTGTGATGCCGGGATGAAGAGGGTGGGTGACAGAAGCCCCATCCCGGGAGTGGTGGCACCAATCACTAGGCCTGGATCAATCGCAAAGGGAGCGAGGGAGGGCAGGCTGGCTGTGGGTGCTTGACTGCTGCTGCCTCCTGCCTGCTCTGCGATGCCCTTCTGCAATGCTGCCCTGCTCTACAGTCAGCCACTATGGACTGAGATCTCTGGAGGGAAAGTTGGGGGACAGGCAGGAAAGTTAAAGAGCCTCAGTGAGGTTTCCGACCTGAGTTAAAGCCCTGCGAGAGAGAGTAGCTAAGAGAAGCAGAGAGAGCTGATGAGAAGGCCTGGCTCATTTCATGCCAAGACATAATTCCCTCCTCCTTCCACCTTCAGTCAAGCGTAAGGGAAACAGAGTGGGGAGGGGGCGGACGACAGCGTCAGGACTCCCTTAGGAATACAATATACACTAACACACGTACATAGTTATTACTATTCTCACCGTATTCATACACTAAAATGCACATGTATCTGGCACTAACTCGGCCTTGAATGTAACTCTGCTGTAATTCTCACAAGATAAA